TTCGAACGAAGAATTCCTCGTGCACGTTACCAAGTGCTGCACGGGAAAAGTCACTTGAGACCATCGAGCAATCGTCATGAGTTCTTCCCAGTTTTCTCCAGGTGTAGCAGGTTTTGATGTTACCACTGTTAGTGTTCCTGTTGTTCTGAAGAGAAAGGAGCCGGATAGAGCTTAAGAAACAACAACACTTCGGTCATCAGTACGACGACCAGACTATTTTCGGGCGTGATGAACTGAGATTAGTCGATGGGGATATAAAACCGTCTCATTCTCAGGAATCAGAAGATTTGTATTTTGAAGTTTAGAAATGGACTGGATGACGGTTGACACCATGCATAACTTTTAAAAATAATCCAACTTTGATTATTGCTGTGTATTTACTAATTTCAAAGAAATAGACAAAATATTTTAACCGTATTTTAGAAAGTTAATGAATGGCACGGCTAGAAATCCCATAGTTGATACAGGAATTGGTCGAACGATCTTATATAGGGAAAATATATACTTATTTACGAAAAAATATTTCGTTTAAGTAAATAGCAAGGGATATCCCAGGTTTGAGTAGCCAATCAGAGCGCGTAAAAAGAACTAGTGTTAGGGTGTTGGCAAATAGAAGTGATCCTGTAAAGTGTCGTTTTAGTACACCTGGGAACAGCCACTGGAATATTGCTTGTGGGCAGTGTTTTCTCGTGCATAGCCAATTTGCGATCAGTGACATACAAGACGTATCATGTATTTCATTACAGCTGATTACTCACTCCATAATTTGGAAGCCTGTCATTCAACCTTTTCGTTCTGTTTAACAGCCCTCTACACACTAACCTGCAATCAGGTTTTTTTCTGTGGGGGAGGGGAGAGGGGGTGGAGAGAAGGAAAACCTTCCAAGGGAGAGATGAGGAGGAATGCCATGAGCGCAAGCTATCATCGGCTTATTGTGTTGACCGTCGAATTGGATTTTTCTGAACAACGTGATCATCTTGCACTTCTAATGGAAGGCGCAAGATAATTCTTCAATAGGATTTTAATGTGAGTCTATCCTTATGACAGGTTTGATGTAAGCAACAGGAAGTCAGGGCACTGAAAATCCCAGACATATGGAAGTTGATAAATCCTAATTGTTGTTTCTCATCAGAGAGTGGAATGACTATTCATTTGGCTTCCGTCACGTCAGTTGCATTGGAAATTCTACGAGATGTTCAAATCTTGGACATGCACGTTAACGTTGGAAAACGTTTTTATTTATGCCATTGAAAATTAACGAGGTTATATCTGCGTCATTGGAGCAATCTCCGTAACAGAGAGAGGGCAAGTACCGTTGTTCACAAAACGTCGTTGAAGAACTCAACGTTAAGATTCAGACTTTTATTGTCTAATCAAAGAATAGCGGGAGCAGTTGAGTGTACTTCGAAGATTGTTACGTCATCATGACGCAATCAGTCCCTTGGCAACGTAGGGAAAAGGTGCTTGGTCCTCTAACTGGTAAAGGAAAAAGCCCTGACCTTGTGATTTCTCGAGTTAAGTCTTTTCCCCTTACATGTTTTTTTAATGTAGTTTCGTAAGTTCCAAGAAGACAATGAGTTAGTTCAGTCTTTTAGCTAATGGGATAGTTCTCTTATCCTAAATTACTACAGTGTAATTTTAGGTGAATACTTATTAGTCCAGGGTATCGCGGAAAGAATAAGTTTAAATCCTCTCTGGATGATAGATAGACGAGAGCTATCTAAGACGAATATTTGAAAATCGAAGAAGACTTGAGGTTACCACAAGGTAAACATTGTGTCTAACGTTAAAGCTTTTGGCTGGTGCAATCAGTGATTTATAGACAACAATTGATAGTTTTACATCCTTTGATCTAGGTGGAAAGTGACAGTTTTCTATAATTTTTTTTGTCGGAAAATGCGACCCCTTGCATGCAAATTTCGTTGGTAATCGCTGTGACAATAAACGTTGATTTTGCTTGTCCGTAGTCATCAATTTTTCTTTTATTTT